TAGTTCTCATCTCCCACTACCTAAGGGAATTCCCAAACGAAATAACGGAATTATCAATATTAAAAATGAGGATGATCATTGCTTTGAATATTGTAATCTTGCAGAACTTTTCCCAGCACAACATAATCGAGAACGAGTTTCTTGGTATACTCCCCACTTAGGTAAGTTAAATTTCAATGGGATTCAATTTCCAGTAAAAGCTGACAATGATACAATGGAAAAGTTTGAAAAACAAAATCCAACTATATCCGTATCAATTTATGGATGGAGTGAAAAAAAACTTATCCCAATTAGAATTGCACCTAAATCCAAAGTACATGATAGATGCAATCATAAAGAGGGGGATTGTCAACCACGTAATAGTAAATTAATTCGACTTTTATTAATAACCGGCAATGATCCAAAAACAGGAGAACCAGCACAACATTATTGTTTAATTCAAGGAAGAGATGGCTTAGGAAAATTAGCAGGATATACAACAAAGCATTGTCGAAAGTTATATGTTTGTGATTATTGCGTAAGTCACCGAACCCATGACCCCAAGATTGATGCTCAACATATGGAAGATTGTGAAGGAATTAATACCCCAGTACAAAGAACGGAAATGCCAAAGGAAGGTAAAAATATATATAAATTTAGAAGATATAAACGAATGATAGATGCACCTTTTACTTGTTATGGAGATTCAGAGACTCTCTCCGAACTTAAGGAAAAAAATCAAGGTTCAAAAACAACAGCGATCCAGGAACACAAAGTTATATCATTTAATTATATAATTAAGCGTAGTGATGGCAAGACCAAAGCACCAGTAAAAATCAGAGGTGATGATCCAGCTGGAGATTTCATTAAAGCAATGGAAGAGGAAAATAAGCAATGTCAAGACTTTCTTGCAGGAGGTCATGTAATTCGAAAATCTGCAACAGAATTAATCAGAATGTTGCAATCAGGAATAATAGCAGAAGAGATAGCAGAAGATTATATTAACCACATTAGCATATTTCAAACATGGAAATTAGCCAAAATTAAACTCGCTTCTAGTAAAGAATACGAGAAATTAATACAACTTAAACATTATTTAAAAGGTCTTCACCTAGCTCATAGAAAAGATGCCCTTGGAGTTTTAAAAAGAAAATTAGAAAATACTGAACAAAAAGGAGAAAATAAAAAAGCTAAACTTGAAAAATCACAAGAACTAATAGCTAAAATAGAGTCTCCAACGAAATAAATACTTTAATGAGAGAATTACTTTATACAATTTTAGAATTAGAAGAATGATGTAGCAAAGACTCCAGATGTGCCTTTTGCACTACTCTTTATAGTGATGAAGACATAGCTGTTTGCCAAATAAGAACTCGAAGTGAATTGACTGAAAAAATAATCGCCAATAATTATGCTTGTGAGAGTTGTAAAGAAAAGTTTGAAAATGGTGAGTTACCAAAGTGTGACAGGTGTGGGAGACTGCAAACTAGAGCACGCTTTTTCGATGGTAAATATGTTTGCCGTTGTGTTGAATATGAGAAAGATACTCAGCAGGAGGAACTTCCTACTATCTCATCTGAAAGAAGACAAACTGCTTTTTACGAACGACAAATAAATAAATCAAGAGAAAAATTAATTACAACTGAGGAAGCATTGGAAATAGAGAGAGAAGAAGTAGAGAAGTTTCAAGAAAAATCAAAGGAGTGAAGTAAAAGGCAAAAACAGGAGTTATTGGACGAGATAAAAAAATTACAGTATGAGAATAAAAGATTAAGGAGCAATTAAAAGCCCAAATCGAAGTTAAAAAATAGTTGGTTATCAATGCCTAGCAGGATTAAAACAAAGTTACACTCAAAAAGATATCAAAACATTATAGTAGGGTTGACAGAATAGTTCAATATTTTAAAAAATAACTATTTGTTTTCTTAATATTAACTGAAGTTTTTTAATTTTGTTATGTTATATTTCTTTAAATTTCTGTTTCTTCCTTGGTTCATCATAATTTGGCGTTAAGGTTCATTTATGGCTTATTATTTTTCGTTCTTCCTGATAAATTTTATAAGTGATTTTTTCCTTATCTAAATATTCCTCAAGAATTTTGGTGTCATTCATTTTAAAAATATACGGAGCAATTTTCTCTCCTTGAGCTTTTTTTAGAATGCTTCTAATAGTGCTGTAATTCTTGGGTTCCATAGTGGATTTGATATAAATTAGTTTCATATTAATATTTTTTTATATAGAGGTAATCCTATATTAATCATGTTATGGTTTATATTCATCACATTCTGGTATGATAAAGTGAGCATTAAAATTAACAGGTCTATGAGCACCATTATTACTTTTCAAAACGTCATCAGTCACACTGATTATTTTACAGCCACATCCTAATCAGCCTCTCATTTATAGAATGTTCACTTTGTCTGGTTTTGTTGCAGCATGCCCCATATGAGAAGCATGAATGGAGTATATTTATATATCATACGCATTATTATAGTCTTGATAATGATTCCAATTCCAATTTGACATACTGTATGTCAATTTAGAATTGACATAAATTCCAGTTGACATAACAACTGCATTGTTCCATAGATTTGTGGCATTGTCAAACAACATACTTTAGCTGTACTGTAATGTTTTTTTCATAAATTTATCTTAAAATAGGGCATGAAAAAAATTTTTTACTATAAGAGGAGACAAGCCTTTCTTGTTCTCTGATGACATGCTATCACTATGGATTGCCTAAACAGAAAATTATGCAAATGCGTCATATTTACACGCTTGACCAATGATAAATTGGCTTGTTCAAGTCAATACCTTGACATAACGCATTTATCGAGACGAATCGCAGCGAAAGGATATGTAATTTATTTAATAAATGCCCCGTATTGTAGCATAAATTCTGTAGTTTTTAAATTCTCGTGTTCTTTTTTCTTTTTACACGAAAGCAAGAGCAAACAATACTATTACCATAAAATTTATCTGGGAATCTTTCATCCAAGTTAGGTATTGGGAGATGCTCCTTACACACTTATACGCAGTCTATTCAAGGTCTTCTCGGCTTTGTAAAGAATTGCAAGATATTAATGTTCCTTTAATAAATGACCAGCGGCCACGTGATCGAATCGATAACAAAATAAAGATAATGTGCCCGAATGTACCTGAGCATAATTCACACGGATCATATAAGCGTATTGCAGCATACAGCATACCTTTATCCCAATATTATAAATCATCGAAGGCAGCTAAATTACGGTAAACAGCGGATAATAATAAATAAATACTTGATTAACTTTCCAAGTAGATTAGGTGGGAGGGGTTTTTTCGAGCCAATCAATAATTGCTACATTCCCACGACTCACAAAAGAGGCAACAAGCTCAGAAACTATCCAAGTTTGGTACAAATTAATGCAAACACATATAAATTTAAACTTGAAAAGCTCCGATCACGAGTCATCCAGAAAATCAAAAAGTCCGTCTCTTTGTGCAGATTGATCACATCTTATTCGAAAGGGAAAGCCGCCAAATATTATAATGGTCAGTCCCACAAATCTCCTCACAGAAAAAATTGTGCTCAATCGCTTCACGGTCTCACACGTCCAATTTGTCTGAATTTTTCCAAGGAATACGAAGTATATCAACCAACAAGATACGCCTCTGAGGATTCAGACTCTGAATTCGAAGAGGAAGCTTCTACCGAATATGAACCACCAATCATTCATTTTATTTCTTCGAAACAAGAGAGTAAACTGCAAGTGAGAGTAATGATGATTGGAGCTTGTGGAGGAGGCAATGTGTTTCTTGCTTCTGTCAAGGGAAAAAAATTGCTCGGGACGATACTGCTTCCTGAAATAGATCTTGTAAGTCCCTGGTTGAAAAGCGAGCGAGCACATCAGATAAGGAAAAAAATGATGTTTAACTTTTTATTTTTAAAATTCGTTATGATGCCCGTAGCTTACCCTCCCTTCTCCCCACGTTCGTTTTTCTACGATTCATTTAGAAGGGGAATACGTTCTCTCAAGAGGCTCTCACCCCTATTCCTGATAAAAACTGTTTCTTCTATACGCTCGAGTCGGATCCTAGCGTAATTGTTGTCCCGTGCAATTATGACGTTAATGACGACAGATGTTTTGTTTGGACAAAGTCTTTGTTTCAACACGTTGAAGCCGAATGGTTTGTAACTGTCGAGGTTGTGCTGAATCTTCTATTCTAATACCGTATAGCCTGTATATTATGACAGACTAAGATCGTGGTTTGTGTGTTTGTAGCGTTATAATTTTAGACGTGTTTACTGCTTCCTCTTTCATTACGTCTAATCGACTGGATGAACAGACGGCTAGATATCCGCCGTTTGTTAGGTTGTTACAAACTAGTGCAGCGAACAAGGTGATTAGCGAAATTCTAATCGTAATAGGTTTCTTTTTTTGATCTTGCGTTTTTGAATTAATTCGCTTGTCGACCCGTTTCAACAGACTGTAGACGCCCCTTCCTATGAAGCACCTAATCTTGCACGTAATTTGACAGCTGCCATATTAAATCATGTGAGTAAACTACTCGTAATCATTAACTTTTCGGATTTGTTCATAGTTAACACAAGTATGTTTTACAGTGTGAAATACGCAACACTCCTGCATATGCTCTCTTCAGTATCCAAGATAGTCGACACGGAAAGACCATTACAACTTACGATACGCTCGAAGCCTATAAATCAGTCCTCTCTTTATTATTACCTGGAACCAAATTGCTAACAGACGTTGATCGATTGCATGAATCTAAAAGGGCCTCTCCTTTATATCTGTAATAGTCTCTTGATAACCAGGTAAAATGTTCAATGAAGCAAGAAACAAAAATGTATATCAACACATACAAAGTAAATATTATTACTATCCTATAATCAGTACATGAAAGAAGAAAAGCCCACAAGATTACTGTATCATAAAATGACAAAATATTTTGATAGAATATCAATATACAGCTACACTACAATAAGAGTCCTTTGATGGATTAGTTCATCGAGAAACAGATGCTCAGATAAAATGTGTGGTGAAATGAGATATAATAACGAAAGTAATGCAATAAAGCGTGGGACATATCATAATTTCACCTGGCTGTTCCTTCTGTAGTGAGGAATGCCGCACCTGTACGATGGGAATGCCATTAGAATGCAGACAGTAAGTCATGTTGTAAACACGCTAGATGGCTTACCTTGACCATATCCGTACCCCTGAGTTAATCGATAAATATGTGGTTAGTAAAAACACGAACAAAAAACTGAATGCAAAACTATACGAAAAACACACAGACACACAAGTATACACCACATTCTCATCCCTCGTTCCCTCTTTCCCCGGTTCTCATTCTTCATTCTTCATTCCCAACCCCTTTTCCGGTGATTAGCATCTTACCTTTGGACCGAATTCCTTTGAATAACACCCACGGCAATAAAGCTTGTTCTCTCGATCAGTCATGTTAGTTGAATCCAACAATTTACTACAACTACTACATTTTAAACACAACTTGTGATACTTCACTCCTGCACCCAACACAGCCTCTGCAGCATACACCGGTTTGTTGCACCTTGGACACATGTCGCTATTTGCTGGTGCGCTCCACCTTCGCGCATTGCCACGAGGGGACTGCGATCGAGAACTGAATATGCTATATGCAGGCGACATGGATCTCGGAGAAGTGGGAGGAGAAGCGCATTTTTCGATGGGTGATGTGGGAGAAGCTGGATCAATACCAAGTTTGGAGGCAGGTTTTTCTGTATTCAAGAATGACGTTCCGGAGGCGAAACCGTAGCCTTTTTTTTTTTTTGGAGGGTTGGTGAAGAAGAGGAAATGATGGAAAAGAGGGCGGGGAGAAAAAAAGGAAAACGGAAGCGATTAGTCACCAATTCAGATGAATTGCCCGTAAAATATGCGAATAAACAACAGCACGCTAGACAAATGTCCAATGAGTTTACCTTTTGGACCGAATCGACGTCCGTGACAGTTCTTGCAATAAGCCTGTAGAAAAGAGCCGAGTTGATCAAACATGAAAAAAGTGACAAAGATCATGCTTCCCAGTCGTTTGCAATGACATACCTCTCCCTCATGCTCTGCCAGAGTATAAGAGTCTAAGCGTTTCTTACAGTCCTAGTTGTACAAAAAAACGTAATGGGTAAATCAAAAATCGATACATTGTTTTCAATGTTTCTCCCTCCGTCTCTGCCCCTTAAGCCTTTTCTCTTTTCCTCTACTTACAATACAAGTCAAACAGGCCTTATGCCAAGGTCCATTGGGCCCGATTACCTGCGGGGAAAGGAGTGGAAAAAAGTGTGTGAGAACACATTTCAAGCTAAAAACCTAGACTTGCGGGTTTTCCATTTGGTTCCACCAACTTTTTACTTGACAGATATGTTTCGTGTGCACCCTTCATACCTGTTCAGCCATATAAACGGACTTTTGGCATCGTGGACAACTTGGTGTTCCCCAAGGACTAGACATTTCTCACAGATATATTAGAGCAGTCGTTACAAGTCGTTAGTCGGTTATATCGAACCGGGGTGTGTTGTATCGGTTGTGAGAGTTTTTGGGGTATTGGTATTGGTATTGGTGTTGCTGCTGCTGCTACTGTTGTTGTCGTTGTTGGTGGGTTGGGTTGGGTTGGTGGTGAAGTGAGGAGGGGGGGAGGTGGACGGAAAAGTAGTAGAACTTTAAAGAATTTAGTAACAGAAGATAAATAAAAATACTATGCTGTACGACAGATGCGAGCTTAAGGGGCGGGGGCCCATTGTGGACACAAAACTTTGAGGGAATATGCTTGTTGGTGTCACATTATTGATTTGTTCTTTTGCGAATTAGGTTTACGCAATTTAAGGAACTTTGATTGATGAAAATATTTTGATGTATTTATTATTATTATTATTATTATTATTATTATTATTATTATTATTATTATTATTATTGTCCTTACGTCATAAGCAAATGACATGATTGATGAATTGATGGTTGGATGGTGAGTAGGGGTTAGGGTTGGTGTATTGATATGTATTGATATGTGTTGTGTATGTTGATGGGTTGTGTGTACTGGGCTAATACTAATCGAATGTGTGACTACTTTTATTGTTAATATAGCAATCTTAATATTTTGTGTTTGTTATATTTTGGCATTATCCCATGTCAATTCACGTGGTTCTGGATAAATGTGTTAATACAGCGGGTTTGCACTTGACCACGTCTGGAAGCCCGCCGTTTGTAAATGTAAAAGCATTATTTTATTAATGAGGTGACACTGCTCTCACAAACAGTTTTGACAAAGACTTTTATCAAGAGCAAGTTTTCTTCTTTTCTTTGTTCTTTGCGACAGGAAACAAACAAGTAAATAACACGAGCATTCTCAAGACGTATATGGGAATGCTCATATTCGAAATCTCTTTTTGTCATTTCCAACACTTTCTTACATTGTGTATCCTGTGCTACGCGTGTCCTTGTAATCCAGGTCACACCCATTTCGTAACGCGGGGGTAAACTTTCTTATGTGAAACAAGAATTTCCAATCCCTTGCGCTGCTAATTCATTGACCCGAACAGAACGAATTGGCCGAAAAAACCCCCCCTTTTTTATCGAAAGTTACAATGATTTCATGTATTGCATGAAATGGACTTTACATAATTTCTGAACATGTAATAATCAAACAGAATTTGATATTTGATTAAATATGGTAAATATATAATGTCCGTTGACTACATCCAAAAAAATAATAACAAAATAATAGAGAAATACCAATCAAATATGATTAATATATATATATATATAATTCAGAAAGTTTGTGTGTGTGTCTATTTCACAGTAGTGGACAATCGATTTCCCATTAGACCGGATCAAGAGAATATAATGAGAAAATAGGGAGAAAAAAAAAAGAGAATATATGTAGTATGTATGTATAAAAAAACCATTAACCCAAAATATTTCAAATACCAAGTACGTCTCAAGTCCAACAGCTACTTGATCAAAACCAAATACATCCCACTCATAACGAACTTATCTGCTTTAAATACACAAAGCAGCATCTGAGTTGGATACAATTAACCATATCTTATGACCGACATAATACGAGATGTAAACAACATACACGGATGAAATATTAATAGTCTAATCTAATTATGAAGAAAAAGAGCTGTTCAGACATTATATATATAAAATACTAAGGGGGTTCTTCTTTGCCGTCTTCTTATTTGATGCCTATTCTGATACTGCACGCAATTCGCTCGCAGGTAGTGGGGTGAAATTATGGATATCAATGCCTCGTGATTTAAGTTCAGGTACCACATGAAGAGGTACGAGTTGCTGGATAAGATCGGGGCGAATAGAAAGTTCTTATGATGTAAAATAAAAAGAGAGTGTGTGTTTGTGTATGCGTGTGTGTGCGGGGTGTGTGTGTGTGTGTGGAAGGTGTGTGCATGTGTGTGCGGGGTGTGTGTGTGTGGAGGGTGTGTGTGATGAATGTGGGAGGGTGTGCGTGTGTGGAGGGTGTGTGTGATGAATGTGGGAGAGTGTGTGTGCGCGCGAAAGAGTGAGCGAGTAGTTAATGAGCATGAGTAATAGACGGGGACATGGAAATTACAACGAGAATACACTCTCCATCATAGATTACATTTCACATACCTTGCGGTGTAAAATCAAATAATTTAGGTAATTCTTTGCCATTAGGCATTCTAGTCTCGGGATTGCGAAGTTCGTCAAAGAATGGATGACACATTGCTTCAATGGCCGTTGTTCTCTGCGACGGTGTATACTCTAGAAGCTTCGATATAAGATCAATAGCATCTGATGGTGTCCGAGTGCGGAATACCTAAATAAAAGTACAATGTAGTAACCGATCGAATTAGTTGCTGTGCAACAGAATAAACAACAATCTTGATCGACGCCGCTGTTCTAATTGTAAGCGAATTTGCAATAGCATTATAATCTAACTATATATGAGACCATCATTACCTTTGAAAAAGGGTGTGGCTTAATTTGAGGAAATTTATGTTCCATATAGTTTGGATTCATGGTCTTGATTTGTTCCCTTGTTGGGGTGCCCAAGACTTTGATAATCTCCACTAATTGGTCAATGCCACTATCCCCTGGAAACAATGGCTGACCAAGCATTAATTCGGCCATTACACAACCGGTCGACCAAACGTCTATTATAATACAGTTATGTCAGTAGCACGTTCACATAATTTGATTACGTAGCAAATCGGTTGTTTGTCTTGAACAACCAATTGCTTATACGTAGTTTGCATTCTAAAGCAGACAGAGAATATTCTCTTCTCCAAACTTACCGATATTAGTAGTATAGTTCGTAGCGCCAAAGATCAACTCAGGTGCCCTATAGTACCTGGAACATATATAAGAAACATTGGGCTCGCCTGCTACCAAAATCTTTGCACTTCCAAAGTCACATAACTTCAGTACACCAGTGTGTGGATTCAGAAGAAGATTCTGTGGTTTAATGTCACGATGACAGATGCCCAGTAAATGGATATAAGCGAGTGATCGAAACAGTTGATACATGTAGAGTTTGATCAAGAGTATTGGCATGGTTTGTTTGGATTTGGCATACAAGCGAGATGCACGGTAGACAGTTTCTGGAACGTATTCCAGAACTAGATTGAGAAACAGTTCATCCTTCTTATATAATGAAATGACATAAAGCGTATTAGTTGAGCAAGCAAGTGAGATAAAGCGTGACATTTAAGGGACGTAAATGAGATTTCCCAGAGAAAGCAAAAGAGAATAACACACAAATGATACAAGATTTGCAAAGCATAAGCGAGGGAATTGGATCAAACATAAGCATGCGAATATGAGATCAGGTTATATTACGTACCTTCTCACCAGGCGTATAAAAGAAGGCTTTCAAATCTACGATATTTGGGTGTGAAACTAATTTCATAATTTGTAATTCTCGATTCTGATAGCGCATAGTCATGTTCCAGCCGAATTCACACGAATACATAGGAAAACAGTTAATAATGACGACCAATACGACCATATTCACGCTCTCGTTCCATCAAAACCACAAAATGCATTCGTACCTTGAACCTCTTATCTTGCAGTACTTTCTTAATCGCGACCTCCTCACCAGTGTTTATTAGTTTTGCCTGGTATACCACACCGAATGACCCATTCCCGATCACTTTAATGAAAGTGTAAGCCAGTTCGAAATCTTCGTTTACTTTCCCATAACAGGCAACAATTCTATTCACTTTGAGGGGATCATTGTCACCTTTTGAAATCAGGAAAAAAAGAGTTAAGCCGAAAGAAGAGAGAGAGGTTTTGGGGGGTTGGGGAGTTGGGAGGGGGGGAAAGGAAGAAAAGGGAAAGGTTGAAATGGTTAAGTTTCTGACAGAACATCAGCCCTCATCCTCTGCTAGCTGCGATAAACACTCAACAGTCGTCGAACGCTTGTTAGAGTGACTCGGACTAACAGATACCAATTCCACGCATATAACGACTTATTGTTGAATGGTAATTACACACGAACGCAAACTCCCACACTTTAATCTATCAAGTAATTAAGCCCCAAGGCTTTGGGGGAAGGTGGACATCTGGGAACTTACAAGGCTTTACCCCGTTTAGCGAAGGATGAGTGGAGTGAGCTGTTAGGGCTCGTTGGTCTGATGTGCTATTCTCATTTGCGGGAGCGCCTCGGCGTTGTTTTGACGACATGATTATGAACGGATAATATAGAGTTTGAAACAATTTACAGAAGCTGAATGATGGAAAGCAAATTGGTAGTCATGTGCTGTACCACTCTAACCTTTTGAGGGTGTATATATGTATAGATGATACAAGAGATATTAGCGGTTTTTTTTAGGGGAAAAAATCGTTAAAAAAAGTAAGAAGGAAAAATTGGGGCTTTTTTCTTATTTGAGATGCAAGTGGGAAATATAACATAATGATCGTAACGATTGTATCTTGTCCGCTCAGTTTGGGTTATATGACTGCGGGGGAAGGGGCAAGGGAAGAGGGGGGGGGGGGGGGGAGGGGAACCACAGAGACATGAGTGGTGGGCGCAATTTTGTAATATGCGAAAGAAAAGCGTTTGGATCACGTGAAGATATTCAACCGACATCTTATGATGCAAGTGTGCGTATCTAATGTGGTTTAGTTTCTCACCACACGAGTCAAAGATTGTTGCAATGGAAATGAACGACGGAATCGTATTGCAAAACAAGCTGTACAATTCTTTGTTACAAAACACAATGCGCGCTATGATAAATTGTTGTCGTAAATCGCGCTATTACTAGAACGGAAATTCTTGGGCGAATCACACCATAATGGAATATGGTTTCGACCGACAGATTGAATCTAACATAATTGTTCCTGTCATTGGGTAACTAGCATGCAAGCGAATGGAATTAGCTTTCATCGAATAAAGCGATAGCTATTCAAACACTATTTTGAATGGAGGGCTTTGGTACCCGCGCTGCTATTTATCGCACTTTAACTGTATGCATTAACATGGTGTCTACCAAATTTAAGAGTTGGCCATGGGAGGTATGTGCGCTCAGAATCATGTTATCTTTTGTGGATGCGTAAAAGCTTTATTATAGCCAAGCAAAAATAATACGCCACATCGGCTGTGCATGAATTTGGTGTTAAATTGCGCGCGTAAAAATCAAAGACATAAAGATCTGAGATTTTCGTGGTTATAGGTTAGGTAACGTTTTTTTACATCTCTTTGAAACTCGTCACCAAAAAAAAAAAAGTTACAACTTGCATATAATAAAAATCATCCAAGCATGCTGCTTGTGACATGTACAAAAAGAATGATAGGTGGGCATAGCCTTAGCTCGTAATCATCAAAAGTCGATTTCGACTCTTATTCGGACATTGATTTTATTGAACCAATTTATAAAAGCGGTTGAAGAAGCTCCGTTCCGGGTAAACGTCTTCCTTAAAAGTACGTTGGCGAACGTGGCACAGCTCAGCTGATCGAATAGGTAATCAACAATTGTTAGCAAACCTGCTGCTGTTAAAGTCTTACAAGTTTATTCAATGTAGAGTATCATCTACCCCCGTGATTTCGACAAGAACAGCATCAGTTAACTTACGCAACCTGCACGTCGATATATATGTATTCATTATTGTCATCATCATTCTTATTGATTGGTCTGCTTCTAGGAACCTTCCCAGGATGGACTATGTGCTCGAATATTTTTAGAAAACAAAGACGTTTTTTATTGATGGAATAATGAGGATTGCAATTCGCTAGAACAGGTTGGGTTATCCCGGGACACACCAAAGCGTTATAGTAGTGCACGCGGAGCAATCGATTGTTTGTTTTCTCAAAAACAATAACGCAATTGTCAGTATGAAAGCAAAACTTTGATAATGTTATACATACCATATTTAGATTCTTGAAACAGAAGCATCATTTGCAAATATCCATCACGAGATCCTTGTAGTGAGCTTGAGGACAGCGCGCAGTAAACGCCTTGTTCCAACAACAGTTTACACGGTATGTTGATTGTTCAGATGATTAGAGTCCGGCTAATACCGATTCCAATAAGACATACATATATGCACCCTTTGCACCTGACACGTCCAACAGTCTATTTTTCTATCTAACTTTAATCGGAATGTCTAGTGCATAATGCTATGGCGATGACATAATTGTTAATTAATTTAATGTAATGAAAAGGCGTAGTTATGTAATAGTAATTAAGATTATGTAAAATTATTGTGTTGCAATTATCAGCTGATTTTTTCGATTTAAAGTATACGACTGCGATTGACAACTCAAAAAACGCGTGATGGACATAAACAATTACATCAATGTCAATTGCATTTAATTCGGAATTCGGATTTTCGATAATTCGGACGTTTGATGCCGGACTCTTTTTTTTTTTTCATATTAAATTCTTCCTTTTATTCGTCTTACACTCGATAATTCTGGTTCGAACAGTTGTAAGTAATTAACTGTATAAATCAAGTATTGTAAAGACAACTCGATTTGGTCATTAATTAATTATTCCTATATGTGAAACAATTTCACGTTGCTTATTCAAAGTTCTTTTAATTCGGACACTTGACAAAATTCGGCTGTTCAATTTTCGTTAAAAATAAGACGAAGACACAGTAAGAAAGTCTTCATCTTTCTTGAACAGCAGGATAACAATAACATTAATAATATTTGTATAATTGTTTTGTCGACTAATTGACCAAGTTTTATGTTACAGCTATCGTAATCACAGTAGAGGCAGAAAACTTAAGAGTTTAACAGGCTTTCTACCTGACAGATATTTCAAAGTTTACACAATTAAAATAAACAGGAGAACGGAAACTAGAAGAATTATAAAATGCTCATCTAAACCAAATTAAGCAGAAAGAAAACAAAAAAAAAGGCAGTAAAAACAAATAAACAATAAATTTTTATTAGGAAAAGAAGGAAAAGCATTGCCAATTGTTTCTTCGTTTAATTTCTTCATAATGCCGAGTAATACAAAATGGTAAAGCAAACCTTCTGCCAGTGAATGAAAGAAGTAAAAGAGGAAAAGGAAGAAGAATAAAATAAAATTTAAGACAGTAGTAGCTTTCGCCAGCCATGACTTGATCCTGAGCAAGTCTGTCTCGAAAGCTGGATTGATAAATTCGGATATAATGATAGTAATAATGATAATAATAATGATATGATATTATCAATATATAGACTTGTAGTCCTGGTAGGAGCAGTGAAAGTTTTTGCGTTTCTCAGATTTAAACAGAAATGCGACTGTTTGTGTCGGTTATCGACGAGTATTTGTAATTAAAGTTCGCTATTTCCAAGTTAGCTGCTTGGCACAAAATAAAGTTTAAAGATGACATATGAATATATACTATGAGACTGTTGACTATTATAATTACTATCTGCGAGACGGCAATCTGAGACTGAGATCCGTCCAAGACCATGAGACAGTACTCTGAGACCAAATTGGTCTGCTCTCAACGAGAAGACCACAATCTTTGCCATCAAAGTAAGCAGTAAATTGTCCCTTTTGGCTGCTAAAAGACTACAATGCCAAACAGATCGTTCGTAATGGTTTATTTCATATCAATTGACGGGACAACGTGCAATTACAGTGTAAGATTTATTAATGCGGATTTCGAATATTTGTCATATGTTCTTTGAGTGCATCGAGTGATTTCTATGGAAGCGAAAGAAAAAAAAAGCATGTTATGTGTCCATTAGCAATGCTTCAAAGATATTAAAGATTGCCATTTACATGACTATTGTTTACATACCGTGTAAGAGCTCATCATTGGTTCCAATTTAGATGGCTTAATACTGAGCTTCCTCACTTCTTTCAAATGTCCTGCACGTGACAGCATCTCCTTAAAGTAACGAGCCTACATATTATGTTCGTCAGACAAACACAGGCCCGTAGACAGAAAACGAATTTACTAGAATTACTGTAACATACTTCTTGTGTCTCTACAATCGAGTAAGCTATTCCTTCGCGTCCAGCACGTGCGGTTCTGCCGACCCGATGAACATACTTTTTCATATACACTGGAACATCGTAATTAATTACAACGTCCACATTGTCAAGATCCATACCACGAGCTATTAGATCAGAGGCGATTAATCTGTTGGATAACAGAGAGTTTGTAAGATTTAAAATGTATACCAATAACACAATTCCGTAAAACTACGTACAGCTTAAGTTCTCCCTCTTTGAACCGTTTAAGAATGTTCGTTCTTTCTTGCTGAGACAAATCACTTGAATATTCTGACGCTGTGAATTTGCCCTCTGGTCGATGCATTTGTTCGAAAAACTGAATCAACAATGCTAGGCGGTGGGCAGATTCGACAGATTTGGTGAAACAAAGTGCCGATTTTATTTCAAGATTATGAAGTATGTGCAGGACTATTAGTGGTTTCTGTGAGGATTCGGTGATTATCATGTATTCCTGGACGTCAAAAGAGCAATCGGAGGAGTGTGAATCGAATAATAATTACACAGAAAAATAACAATAAAACCTCATGTCGAGATACCTTTAATGTGCTCGGGAGAGTATATCTAACATCGTCGGTGAGGGCGCCTTGAACGGCAACATACTGCGGATTCTGTAATTGTAGGCTTGCAATCTTGGCAGGATTTCGGGTTAGAGTTGCCGAAAAGAGAAGTTTCTGAAGCTATCGGTTTATAGGCGAGTTAGGCGATGTAAAGTGCAAGCATTTCAAGTGTAAACATAGCTCTCGTTTTCTGATTTTTTACTCACAGAACTTGTCTTAGAAACTGAAATGTCAGTCGGTGGAATGTGAAAAACCGTCGATACCCAAGCAGGTGAGACAGCATCATAAATTGAATACCTACATAAACAGAGAGCTCTTGCATGTAAACGGTTTCATCATATCATAAACAGAGAACAAGTAATAAACACGAATAACTTACCCATTTAAACCATGTTCGGCAGCCTCTTTTTTTGGTTTTAATGCTTTGAGAACGGTAGATAGCCAGTCGTGATAACTCTGATTCAGCAGTCTATCCGCTTCGTCTACTACCTAGAAGCTGTTCATAAGTAAAGGCAAAAGAAGAGAGCAATTACACGTTTATTGAAACATAACTTACCAGAAATCGCAAGTGTTGTAGTGTAAAATTTGGTGTCGAATTTATGTGATCGATCAGACGACCCGGAGTTGCAATTAGTATATCAACCTTGCTGTTTCCGCCTACAAGACTTGAATACCATTATTAATTAAAGCGGGATTCGTATACAGTCAAGAATACGCTGTATTACTTACACATCTTTGCTATTGCCTACGATTTGCGATTGTTCGTTAACAAAGGATGTTTGCCCAGTCATCACTCCAACCTTTTGATAGTTGTAAAATTGTGTACATGTGAGCTTGTTTCATACGACCGAGAAAACTCGAGACTTTTTTTTTTCTCAATTCGCTCACAAACCTTAAGATCCGTCCCTTTACAAAATGCATCAAAGTTTTCTTTTACCTGCGCGACCAAGTCACGCGTTGGAAGGACAATTAGCGCCCGCAATCGACAGACTACACGCGTCGAAAGAATCTACAAAAGAGTCAGTCAAACAGACAAACTGCCGATAAAAAAAAGAGACGATTAAAATTTTTTTTTTACCTCAACAATAGGAATCACATAAGCAAGCGTTTTCCCACTTCCTGTCGGTGCCGATATACATATGTCTCCAAAATGTCGATGAGAGCTGTACAGAGCGCGTGTGTTGTCTTTCAATAAAAGTGGCAAGACTGCTGTCTGAACTAGCGTAAACGCAATCAGACGTATGTCTCTAAGCTAATTACTCGTAAGAGTGCATAATTCGAATGATGAAACTTTCATCGCTACATTACCCGCAAAAAACTCGGTAATCCCTAACGCTTGACAATTGTCCAGAGTAGATTGGGAAAGTTTGACGTTTGTCTCGTCAATAGTCTCTGATCTGGATGGATCAACGATGATCGGATTAGCAAGCCAGGCGGGAAGCCCGAGTTTTTTTAATTGTAATTTGGCTTGTTGGCTGAGAACTCGCGGCACGAATTTAGGGAAAGCTTGGAGCGGTTGTGCACTGGAGAGAGAAGTTGAAGGTTCGGACGAGGATTGCAATGGTTCTGATGTGTCGGCAATGGGTTCCTCCTCTGATACTGTAGCTTGGAGTGATTTCTTTTCTCGTCTTTTTTTTTTAGGCTCAGGTTTTTGTTCGATTGGGCTTTTTTCTTGCCCATTCTCAATAACTCCATGTTTTCGTTTACTTTTCTTGCTCACGAACTGATTAATCCTAAGCAGCCTCTCGTTAGCAACTTTATCCTCTTGTGCATTTTCCTCTCCAACGCCATATCTTTGTATATTAAACATTTGTATTTACAGAGTCTATTATTAAAAAAAATGATCAAATGTCACCGCCATTGTATCTCACCTATGTATATATCAAGTCATGTGAAACCAATAATACTCATTCCAAGGGCGCGCATTTAGAGAGGGTTGACTGTACAAAGAATTCGAGAGCGCTGCTGCAAGACAATAATAAGAAAATCGTCATAAACTAAATGCAGTAACTTGCGTTCAGAGTCAATGACATTTTTAAAACAGAGCAAATACCAAGTAACTCTATTACTAATTTCACTTTTATTTGTGTATAATCGACATTGGAAGTCGAGATGGGAGCTCGCTCGCAGTGAATCTGCTACTTAGATCAGTTACTTGAAAGATATCAAAAATAGAACTATAGCATCAGTCATGTTTCCTATCAGTATAAGTGTAGTCCTCACAATGAAAGTAAGACGTAAGTAAAGTAAAGTGAAATACCTAATACTAACTACATGCAATAGTTAAACTTCTAATGACCATGTCCGTGTCAATAAGAAAAAGTGCTTTGCTGTAATAATTGACAAAATTTTTACGCATTATTTTATAAGGCAGGGTTGTATAATTTGACGGTTCATTCTCGCATTAATGAGCTCCCGAAATTTGTTATGTTTGGCTTATACCGTAGCGTTCTGATTATATATGAGACATGTATTACTTCTCATTTTCGAAGAGTTGAGATAGAGAATATTTGCTGTTTAATGTATCTAATTTTTATGGGAGAATAAATAATTTCTTTCCTCTCCTCTTACGAGAACAAATTTATAGTAAACATCGTCTTTCTAGAATCACGTGCTCTGACTATCCGAGAGTCATTTTTATGAGGTCGTACTGTATACTTTCTGTATACATGTCCTCTAACATCAAAAAAACATATCTGATACCTTTTCCTACCAAAACTGTTGAACTGAACAAATTCTGAAACTTAAACCTGAATTTTATTTTCGTACATCTATTTTTATTTTACGTGATGCGTAATTGATTTATTAAAAACGTGTTCGTTTTTATAAATTCCAATATTATACAAATATTTATTATTTATCGAATGCATAAACTCAAAGCATACCCAATCTAAAAGGCTAACCCTGCGCCTCGTCCTAACACCCGTAGTTTCACTATAATGCCCTATTTACACTCTGAGTTTTTGGCTTTATAATTAACGTACAATGTTTATCGAGATTATGCTTCATCGTCATCCCCGTTAATCATATGATAAACTTCTCCTCTGACTCTCAATGCCAATGCATTATCCGGTTCAATCGCCAACGACTTATCCAAATCCTCTAACGCGTTGTCATATTGATTAAGCATGTAATAGACTTCTCCTCGCCTACTCAGCGTAAGCGCGTCATTTGGCCCTAGTTCCAACGATTGAGTCAAATTGACAAGAGCGTCTTCATACTGATTGATCATCTGATAAATAGTCCCTTTCGTTCTTAATGCAACTGCATTGTTTGGCTCGATATTTAAAGAGTTGTTGACATCGCTCAACGCCTTCTCGTGCTGTTCCAACTCGAGGTAGACGGCTCCTCTTAACCTCAGCGCAAATGCATCGTCGGGTTTTATTGCCAGTGATTTACAGAGGTCGGTCAGTGCGTTATCGTAACTCTTGAGTTTGTAATAGGCGCCGGCTCTCACTTTTAGTGCAAACGCATCACTTTCTGCAATTTCCAGCGATTTGTTGAGATCTCTCAGCGCATCGTCATACTTGTTGAGCATGAGATGGACAGCTCCTCGTATTTTCAATGCAAATGCGTTATTTCGTTCGCCCTCCAATGACTTGTCAAGATCACTTAATGCATTATCATACTCATCAAGCATGTAATAAACGTTTCCCCTTACTCGCAAGGCAACCGGATCATTCGGTTCAATCATTAATGACTTGTCAAGATCTTTCAATGCATTGTCGTACTCATTCATCATGAGGTAGACGACTCCCCTTATTCTCAATGTGACTGCGTTACTTGGTTCGATGCTCACCGATCGGTTGAGATCTTTCAGCGCATTATTATATTGATTAATCATGAGGTATGCCTTTCCCCTTATTCTCAACGTCAAGGCATCGTCCGGTCTAATCGCCAATGCTTTATTAAAGTCATTGAATGCTTTTCCGTAATCGTTAGTCATGAAATAGACAAACCCTCTTGTTCTTAATGCAATTGCATCATTCGGTGCGAGTGCCAACAGTTTGTTGAAAGCAGTCAACGCATTGTCATACTGATGAAGATTGATGTAGACATTTCCCCTTAGTTTCAGTGCCATAATGTTATTCGGGTCGACCCTCAATATTTCACTGACGTCATTTAATGCATCCACGCTCTGGTTGAGGTCAAGATAGACAGAGCCTCTTCCATTCAACGCATTTGCATTACTCGGATCAATCTCCAACGAGTTATTGAAATCTTCCAAAGCGTCGTTATACTTTTTAAGTTTACGGTAGATTTCTCCTCGCTGCGTTCGAGCCACCGCATTATTCGGTTCCAATTCCAACAACAAGTTACAATCGTCCAATTCGTCATCATTCTCATCACTATCTTCATCACCGTAATTTCGATCGGCCAACAAGCAGCGAAATTGATCCTTTTCCGTCTCGAATTCTCTAGACAAGACCATCAGTCTTTCGTGAACGTCTTCGCAAGAAGGCCGGTCGTCAGGGTCTTCGTCCCAACATTCCGAGTACAAATCGATGTAATCTTCAGGAGTTCCAAGGACGGGCTCGTCGCGGGAACCGTTTAATCGAAATTCGATTATGGATGCTGCTGATGTCATTCCCTCACATGGTCGTTGTCCACTAGAAATTTCCCACAATATCACACCCAAACTGAAAATGTCTGATTCTTTTCCCCGCTGATATGAAACGTCGGCGAGTGATAATGGGTCCACGTATGCTTGAATTCCATCATTTTCATACTTGGAAATCGTGTGTGCGTTCATACTAGCTAGTCCGAAACCCGTAATCTTGGGAATACCTTTACAAAATATAATGTTATGGGAATTCTGGAAAATATATGCGAAAAGATGGATGTTGCAGATTTAGCCATCCGTGCGTTTGGGGATAAACTATTACGAGTATGAATCATGTACTAATATTGTATGATACATTACCAAATGATTGTGGACAATGTCCAATTCATGGAGATACTTTAGCCCGTTGACAATGCCTAAACAAAGTGAAAGTTTGCTTTCCCATGTCGAAGTATAATAAAATGCTTCCGAACGGCTCCGTAGTGTTCCACCATCCGCATATTCAAATATGGCGAGATAATTACTGGATGAATCTATTAATAGAAAAACAAGGTGTTGGTTTTTACAGTTACAGTTCTATGCGTGGACGAATATCTTGTCATGGGATACCTTTGCTCAATCCTAGGAACTGAACTATGTTTGGGTGGTTAGCAACCTGTTGATGTTTAGACAGCTGTGACAAGGTAAAATTGCATGTTAACCCAACGACAGCAAAAAAGGTGGTCTAATCCAGTTGATTATATCACATACCTCTTTCACCAATACTTTGTAGAAATCTTTCTTCGGTCTTTCCTTGTTGCGCGATAACGAGGTTATCGTGACGGTGCTTCCAGATTGTCTTAATACGGCTTTATAATCCGATCCGAATCCTCCAGCACCAATCTTAGTACGATGAGACAAATCTTCTTCATTATAATAGGAAAGATATCCACTTTGAACGTTCTTTTCTATCCATTGCTTGGGATTTTCCGTTAAAGACATTTCGAAATCTATTAGAAGTGTATCTTGTTTACAAGAGACGAACGCTTACATTGCGCTGCTTTTAATCCTGTTCAGACTAGGAGCAACTTCTAGACATTCCTAACATGTGATGGCATACAAATAAACAATACTCGAAAATCCTGATTATCGATAGTCAGTTGTACCTGCAGTTACATAAACAGCTGATTTTGAAGTTGATAAACTTTCAAATGGAAATTAAGGGCGTAGGGTCTATCTTGTTAAAGTTAGTTAACAATGCACGGACAGTTACGTAGCAACAGCTGATTACGTTGAAAGACCCTTCACCATGTACGATGACATATCACTAAACATGTATGTATAAATCAATAATGCCGTGTATGGGAACCATGGATATAATTGCGAATCATATTTTGTACCACAGTGAATCTAAGCCCATCGGAAATTGACTATTACTATCGGAGAGAGCAACGGTTCGTTATTGAAAACTCTGGTGATGTTTGTCATCGTAACAATTTAATAACAAGGCATGCAAGTTTACGTTAACTATTTTTAATCGCTCGCGCTTATTTATCGACTAAAGAGGATTAACCCCGGGATTTGATGTACTCGATTATGAAAGAACGATTACGCAACACCAGCTTGGATCAGATTAGTACAAGGCAAAAAGTAGACGGACAATGATGTCATCTCTCTTGCCACGTAATGACATGAATGTGTCAGTACGTAAACAATTTTAGCATGTTTTGTGATAAAGTAGGACAATCACGAATGGGCTGATTATCACCTTTAAAATTCTTCGCATCTCTTATTAACCACATTCCAATCCAACGCAAGATTGCGACTTACAAGCATACTCTATTGTATTAGTCATATTTACTACATTTTCAATACATTTTGTATTTTCATTAATTAGAAAATGTTCTTTTTTTATTCTACAAGCTAGTTGATTGTATTTTCGAAAGAAAACACAATTCGATAACAGATAAGAACAACTGCCACAGCCCACGGGTGATTGGCGTTAATTTTAAGCATAATCGACTGTTATAGCTCCCGGCTATTAAAAATGCCTAACTACCGTGTATTTGATCCGTACAAGACAAACACCATTGTTTAGATATCTTATCATCGAAACGGACGTTCACTGCCCCCATTCACATTTGTAAATGTTTACAGACAAAGCCCCGTTTTCTTGGGGGGATAGGACAGATTATCGTTGTGCATCTGGAAAATTTATCCGTTGTTACACGACTAAATACCTTTTTTGAAAAGTCAGAATGCACAGTACAACAATAATATGCAGAGTGGAATCCACTTTAACAACGATCGCTTTTAACAAAGATTTGCTTTACTATTACAATGAAGCTATTTCGGGAACGGATTCACATAATAGTCAATTTACGTAAATGAGCGTGCAGGCAGGTTAACGAAACAGGGATGCTTTTTCGTTAAAGTGTAACACTTTAGATGCGTGTAACATTTCGGATAATTTTCCGTCAACGAGTCTAAATGATAATAATGACCACCGATCAAGAAAGCGATTCTCAAGATCGATGGGACTAGTACTAGTCTCGAATAGACGGATTTTTACAGATTTTCAAAATCTTGCGTCTGATAAATTATACATTATTGATAACGTAACAATTTTGTTTGCAAACTTTTGCAACAATGTACCTCCCTTTTTCAGTTTTGTAACTTTAATTACGATATTAAGCTTATTGTTCCTGTTACCCCCTTACGTCACATTATTTGTTGATACACATGGACCGACAAAATACCGAATAATTATCAGTCGGGCTGACAACAAATTCCGTTCCATGACTTGTCTTGATAATAACATCCGCCTTTGTAAAAACAATCGCTCGCATTTTCGGTATTTTATTATTGGCACTCCGACGTTACACTTTAACTCCTCACTGTCAAAGGGGGCACAGTAAGTGACACTATACCAATACTGGTAAAACGAAAGCAATTGATCGACGCAAAAAAAACCACCAGTTCTTCGGAATAAATATTAAGACCGTTTGCGTAATCCGATCGAACATTCTTTCCAATGAAATCGAATCGGATATTGCTGCGCACTGCAATTCTCGATCCTATTTTCCTTTTTTGTAAATTGCGGATGATTAGTTTTACCTTTACAGTTTTTTACGGTTAGACACTTTACTGCGTGGCCCCATTCTATTTACCGTTCCCGGACTGCTGTACCCTGTACTTGACGGGTGCTAATACACATATATATACAAAGGGTTTTGACAGATTCGAACTTTCAGAATCGATTTGATCAAAGAAAAAAAAAAGTTTGAATCAATTCTTTCTTGTAAATATATACATATAGAAAACTAATACCTAAGATAATATGACTGCTCAAGAACAAGCGCCTGAATCACCGGTAAAGCCTCAACAGGTATCCACCGAGACTGAGACTAAACGCCAAGTCAAACATGAAATTAAAACGGATGACATTGAAGTCTCATCGACAGTCGATCTAGAAAAACGTTCAACGCCTACAGACCTCGCAGCAGGCACACAGCAAACCGTCTTTCTCACTCTTCGACAAAGAATTCCTTTAGTGCTGGGTTTATGTCTCGCGATTTTCCTATGCGGTCTCGATAACACAATCTCGGCTACAGCGATGCCGGCTATAGCAGAGCAATTTAATTCGTTAGCAGATATCACGTATATTGCAACAGCGTTTATCTTGACGTTTAATTCGTTTATTCCTCTTAGTGGAAAATTGTGCGATGTTTTTGGACGGAGGCCAGTAATGCTTGGAGGAATACTGATATTTTTACTCGGAAGTGCCTTGTGTGGAGCTGCTACTAGTATGATCATGTTGATCGTGTGTAGAGCTGTGCAGGGAGTTGGAGCGAGTAAGTTTTTTGGTGGACAGCGATGGGCATTTTGTTAAAGGCATTTTATTATGTACGCGAAAAAATTCCCGTGACGAATACGCTATTAATCATTAATTTCATTTTACATCGATAGGTGCAATATTCGTGTGTACCATGATAGTGTTTACTGATATTAGTGCCTTGGAAGATCGAGCTAAATATCAAGGGTAAATAATTTGGCGCATGTTTATTTATTAGACGACTGTAAAATTTGTACTTATATTTACAATAATACACGCTTCTTTTCAGTATCATCGCGCTCGTTTTCTCATTCGCAAGTGTAGTCGGACCACTAATCGGTGGATTGTTTGTGGATCATGTGACATGGAGATGGGGTTTCTACATCAAGTACATATCGATATTATTTATACTCGTGTAAAAGTTACGTTCATGCAAACATCTGATCACACACGCTCACACCGATTCTTCATCGTTATTATAGTCTTCCGGTCGGTGCAGTCTCCCTCGTCATCGCTGCGATTCTCTTAAGAACACCCGCACCTAAAGGCTCCATGAAATCCAAGCTCGCCCGTATCGACTATATCGGCACGTTTCTCATTGTTTCCGCAACAACTCTGTTCCTTCTCGGCATCACCTGGGCAGGAACCAAATACGCTTGGCGCAGTGCACCGACTATTTCTCTCTTTATAATCGCCGGCCTGCTCTATATAGCGCTAGGTTTCTATGAAGTCTTTTACGCTGTCGAACCGATCGTGCCACCGCATCTGTTCAAAATTCGCACCGCTGTTGCAGTATACCTTGGCGCCCCCCTCTTCCTATCAGGATTCTTTTCGCTCATGTATTTCCTCCCTATATTCTGGCAGGTTGCCAAACATACTTCTGCAACTGTATCTGGCTTGAGACTGCTCCCAATGCCGGTGGGGTTGGTCGTTTCGTCCTCGTTGGCTACGGTGGCAATTATGAAATTGGGTAGAGTCAAGGAACTTCTTTTGCTCGCGTGTTGTCTGGGTGCTACAGGGCTTGGACTAGTGAGCTTGTTTAAGGTCGACGATTCGTTGGGAATGGAGATTGGAGTGTTGTTTCTCTTTGGATTGGGGCTTGGGTTGTGTTGGTCACTTTCTGTGGTTGCTGTACAAGCGGCCGTTGATCTTAAAGGTACGTATATGATCATGTGCGACAGCGCAAATGTATGTCCATTAAGGCAATAACAAGATTGCATTTTCATAATGTCTTTTTTTTTTTTTTCATGCTAAAAATTTTCCTTTCGAATCTCGTTTTCCCGTACATAGATCTCGCCATAGCAACATCGAACGTCAATTTCTTCCAAATGTTTGGCGGCGCGGTTGGTGTAGCTATTTCTGCTACTGTTTTCAACAACAGTCTTGGTTCACGACTTGTAGGCATTCTTCCCTCCGATCAAATATCGATTGCTCAAACTTCCATCTCATTTGTCATGTCCCTTGAGCAATCAATCAGGGATCAGGTTATAAATGCCTATGTGGAGTCACTGCGAGTGGTTTGGTATGTGCAAGCCGGAATAATGGTATTGGCCTTTGTGGCATACTCATTTGTAAAGCACTATCCAGTAAGAGTAGAGGATTTGAAGAACGCCGGTGGGGCTATATAATTGGACAATTACGTAAACAAGTATTTTTTTAGCATGTGCCGATAACGATAAACATGACGTACTTTGTACTTGCATCATGAAGAATATGATTTTTTTACTCTTAGTGTTACATAAATAATAGTTCATTTCTATAGGCTTATAAGATTCATGTCATTACATCATATCACGAGTGGTGATCAACATTAAGTCATCGTTGCGTAAAAGCGACGCAAATAGTTAGAAAACGTTCGCGATCGAAATATTATAAAAGAGCGAGGACAGTTAGATGGCGAAATTCCAACACGCAGTGATATATCAATACTTTGATATCAAAAGCATCTTTTAATAAATCATCAACAAATAAAAAGCTATTCAAAATGTCTCAAAATTCTCAAAACCCACCTCGAATGTCTCAAGAGCAATTCAAAGAAGCTCAAAATCATCAACCTTCAAAAAAGGTGACAGAACCAGGAAAAGAATCATTCGGTCCTTCAAGCACGGCTCTTGGAGGCGTTGGCGCATATGGTACGGTATATTCGCTGATTTTTAGATTCTATTGGACCAATAACACACATTCTCGTTCTAACATCATATATGTTTCAATATAGCTGGAAATATCCCCGAAACAGCAGTTAAACACGAACCGACAACTGGTGACAAAGTACAAGGTGCCGTGAACAAGGCCGTGGGAACTGCGAAAGAATACATCGGAAGCGCCGTAAATAATGAAAATCTAAAAAACAGCGGAGCTATGCAGAGGGCGGCCGGAGACAAACAGATGCAGGGGATTGATACGTCGTAAAAGAGAGAGAAATAAAAAGAGGGTTAGAATGTGAGGTGTATTTTTTTAATTAACAATAAAAGCGATATTTTTTGTATGTTGTCCAAAAAATGTGTAGTTTAACCATGTTTGTGTTGCAACAATAATGTTTATTTCCGAGAAAATTGTGATTGGTTGTGTTCATACGCCATTTGTCTAGAATGTCATGGCTGTGTGAGAATTTCAATCGCTGCTGCAGTGTTAGGCTGATCATGTAGACAAAAGTATTCAATTCCCATAGAGTAAGGAACTTGTGCAAAACAAATTGGATCAGGCGTAACTCGCCTGACTTGGGGTCCACAGTTATGACTCAAGTTGTTGTGGTTTAGTCCTTTCATATCAAAGGTAACTGTAAATTTAATGCAGGAGTTGTGTCTCAAAGACAATGAATTTGTATCGAGTTTACAACAATAGCTACAAGGAACTAAGATATAATTAAGTAATCGAAATATTACAGGTTCTGTCGAATACATTAAAAGTGTGTCAGTCAAATATTCACCTTCCAGAGTAGATACGCCCGCTACGGCTCTTAGCCCCTTTGGTTTAACATGTGAGGCAGGTTAAATTCTTACAAAAGAAATAGGTAGACATGTTCCTACCATACCAGGTTTTATCGATATTCCTGACCAATTGCCCGATACGGTCACCGTCTCGGAAGTACTCTTATTATCGCGAGGTTTACTACATCCGCGGCTGGCGTTTGTCGAAAGCCTGCCATATTCCGGTCGAATAGTAGCATGTTAGCATTTCCTTTTCGGATATTACGTGGCGAAGCACTAGAGTAATAGATGAACTACGCGTCAAAATGTTAGTTGATATGCAAACACTTGACTACGATTTCTACATACCTATACCAGATTTTTGGCCAGTTTCTTGACCTTGCTTTCTTGTACAATATATTATCGATATGTAGTTGGAACCTTGTTCAGAACGGGAACTAATAAATACCTCTGCAACATATAAACTGACGTTTGACTTGTTGGGAGGAGGAGTGATGTATCGAGTGTTTCTGCGTAAGCGGCGTGTGTGTGTGCTGCCCAATCACCCAATTGGTTCAATAATGCCGACAGCAAACGTCCGCTTTAGCAAAGGCGTTTCCGTTCCAGGATTTTCTTGTTAGTAGTTACAGTACATCGTTCTCCCTCTATTCACACCCAAACCATCAAGTATTGCGTGTGAGCAAACCATGAGAATCTGCGTCTGCCTTTGTACGCGTATCGATCAGGTCAATCTATAATAAACAAGAGGTCATGCATTCCGATGCAATCATTGGTCATATAGTAGATGGTGTTAGCAATCAACGACGGTTCGCATGAATTTTTGCACTAAACACGATCCATCCCAACTATACCGAGTAGTCATCTTTGAGAGAGAATACGTTAATTGAACAGTTGTAGATAATGACACATGATGTTATTTTGTCCAAACTTACACCTCATATTAATATGTGGTAACCTGTTAATTGTTGCCATACGCCGATAATGTTATATAATTAAAGACTTTGTGCGGTATTATTTCTACCTGTACCATATTTTATGGGAATCACATGACAATTTGAACAAATACTCAGACTAACATTTGCAATCGTGCAAGTGGGAGGCATTCATTTCAAATCATTTCGCCGACCGACAAAATGAACCAGTGCAATTTGCGACAATCCTCAGATATTTAATTGTCGGGCATATAATTGATGGTGTTTCTGTCGTCCATGTCCAAATGCACGCACATCTACGTAATATTATCTTATGAATGTAAAAATCTAAAAATAAACTAAGCGTAACTCGCTTGAGTTGTGAGCTATATTTATGATTAAAGTTGTTTGCCACATCAATGATAGTGATGTGGCTTAGTCGTTTCATATTAAAGATTTTGTCTCCCTAAATTACCCCACAAGTCTGAAACGCAAGAGTTGTATAAGACAATGAATGTCTTATCGAGTCCATAACAATTGCTACAGGAACTAAGATATGCTTCTGGGGAATTGAACGCTACTGTGTTTGTGTAAAAATAGCCAGGTTTACAAATCTTAAAACATTACGGATCTGTTCGAATACATGTTTTAAAAGAGTTGAGCGAACAATATTTTTGCCCCGATTATTGTACCGTGTTAAAGATGCACTAAACGTTTCTATAATAATAAAATAGACTTTTAATGCAAACGACTGTCAAAAAGTATATTCGATAGGAGAGGATGACAGTTTTATTAATTTTAATGGACATTGTATCCTAGCGAGTTTCATCACTTCTAGTCTCAAAATTGCTCCAATAATAATGCAACATGGCTCATTCAGCATTACCATTTTTATCGGGATGTAACGACTCTAGTGTTTTATTCGCTTAATTAATTACTCTAGGCTGTCTGGTCTTTGATCGATTTTTTGGTCATATCGTGAGCGCTGGTATATTTAAATTTAGCTTGTACAAGTGATGACGATATTGTTATATAACGATGTCTTGTTATAACGACAGCAAAATCTACATTCTTTAGTTATCGTTATAAAGTTAAATTCTCAATATAAGGACATACTCAATATAGTGGCCATTTTGGTTGGAAACCGAGCGTGTCAACCACTTGCATCGCTCCAAATTAAAAGAGTTTAAACTAGTTCATTCAAGTATATCTAAATTGGCATATCAATTGTATCGCTTTTACTTTAAAGATCAACAGACCCTTTAGCAATGACTTTTTAGTTCTAGACAGTGAAAAAATGTAATTAACGTAAATATTTCATCGTTCTCTTCCATTAATACGTTATAAGGAGCGTTTTTTCTTCGCCGCCACATTCTAATCTCATACAATATGCCGACATCATAGAAAATTTGAATCGAACAAAGGCTACGATTCTCTTACACGGGAAGACTCCAAAAGGAATGCACACTGTTTGCAGATGTTTAATGACATTCCAGGTTTACAGAACGACCATAGCCACTTACCCTTTATGGAAATAGCTGCTTGCATTTCCGAAGTCTGTTGGACAAAAAAAGGAAAGATTGTCTCGGCTTAATAACGGGTTTTATGCACCTGAATAGTAAATCCATAAGTGTCAATTTTTGCAACAATTACCCATTTTGGTAGACATAAGCAGATTTACTGCCGCTGGAGATTGGCTGTTGATAACTACTAACAAATCAATGATTGCCTGTCACTTCTCCTTTTCAGGTATGTATAAGAAATAGGCTAGGCGGGCGCGCGGTCAAATAGGTCAGTCCGGAGCATAACTAAACGCACCCGTGCGAAAATAACATAATGAATGTTAATCAATTAAACTATTATTCGGGTAAATTTTGCTGTATTTATAGCAAACGTAGAGAGTAACTATTTATTACAGTTTCATTTACACACTGTTATTAATATAACTTGTGCTACGCTTTGAAACTTCATGACTAATAAACACAGTTGACGTTTCTTATTTTTCCCGCTTTGCATGCTATTCAACAAGCAAATGTGGTTGAAACTCAATATATGCCCATCACACTGTGTTATTGACATAAACCATATCACGTGCAATTATTATATTATTTTTGGCGTAGATTACTCAATCGAAAATGGGAGTTTCGTACTTTGCCGTAAACTACATATAGTAATAGAACGGGACTCGGATAAATATCATGATTACTTGACACATAGCTTTGAACTAATAACAGCATATACGTCTCATTACGAACAAGCGAAAGCAGAATTGTCTCGGTTTGCGTAAGGTCACGCTGGTCTTGGTTTGGTATTCTCTTGCACAGATATCACCCCCTCAGTATACGGTTTGAGGGTTCTTGGCTGACAGGCGAGGTAGCTAGTCGAGTAACTTGTTCAATACAAGTTTATGGTTAACAACGTGAGACAATTTTGCTGACGGAAAAGCTCGCTACGCATAGCATAATATTTCACTCTTTCCATAGCTGCTTTGATTGATTATACATAATATATGCTTGTCAATAGTATTTGAGCCAACACGAACGATAGTCATGTTTGTATATCCGAGTAGTTATTATCGATGGATTACAATTGGATATTCGATAACTAACCAATCAAGCCCCGTTCTTATTATTAGTTTCACAATCCACAGTGTGATTGCGGAATTTTCAACTTGAATATTTCCTTTTTCATTTGTAAAGTGCCCATAGTCATACCCATGACTAATTAATAAAGATTATTCCATTTACCCGATTCTGCTCCCCTTTTTTTTCCCCCCAGAAAACTTGGGGTTTACTGGTAATTAATAAATCAACCGAAATTTCATTTGGCTTTCGATCGTGATTATATGTTTGTTATTATTATTATTATGTATTGATGAAAGCATTCAAAGTTAGCAATCGGCGTAGACACATTCGCATACATTGTAGACATTGTTTCCACATGCACGTGTACGTACTTGTACGTGTTTACCATTCTGATAAACCAGCCACACACCGCATGCTCATTACAAAGGGCGTATCTCCACCATCAACAAAAAGGATCATCAAAACAATTTAAATGGTACAATGCATTACGGGATACGCCCTTTCCCAGACCATGAGAATAGGGAAAAAATCGATAAGGAATGAGGAATATTTATTTTTTCCCAAGCTCTTAACAATCCTTTATTCCAACAAATTTTTAGAATTTTACTAAACTCACTAATACTCAAAAACACAACTCGTACTAAAAGACCATCTTTACCTATTATTAATTATCATTTCCTCTTTCTTATCGCTCTTATCTTGAGTTTAATCTGTCACACGCTATGCATCGAGGCTTGTCCTTTTTAGAATGTGTTTTCTCTTTTGCGATTTCTATCTAAAAGAAAAAGTACAAGATTTGATTGTGTATTTGTTTCGGGAGGATGAACATGTTACCGAACCATCCGGTGCAAGAACAATGTAATGGTAATGATAATGGTAATGGTAATGGTAACGGTAATGACATATGCAATGGTAATAGTAAGAAATCGCGGTTTAACATTTACTCTTTTTTTTTTTGCCGGGCAATAATAATAATAAAGATATTGTTAATTAATTAATACAATCGAAATATCTTTTATTTTTTAGGTATTTCTTTTACAATGGGGAAGTGGTGTAACCAAGTCGCCTGTACTAAAACATATTACGAGTCAAGGGAAATAGTTCCGGATATGGATAAAAATGTCACCTTCACCTCGGTAGAAATATGACCTGATGGCTGCAATACGTAATATGCGGGGCCAATCACTAATACAGTAAATACAGTAACAGTAATTATAATAGTATATAAAAGCTTAGACAGACTGCATTTTTAATGTTGTATCCAAACACGTGCCCGGATCATCCGGCCAAATTTCTATCCGAATTAATGCACACAGGCACCCAAAAGTAGATCACTCACTGGTCACAACATGTATGCCAAGCCTTTTAAATTGTCCAAAAGTTGTAGAAATTCAACCGGAGTAAATTCATTCCTATTGCCGATTGAAATAAACGTTATTGTAATGTAACAAACAGCGGTACTTTGGTTTAGCCTTAAATGCTATCTAATGTATACTTTTATGGACTGTTCAGGCGGAATAACATTTATAATGCCGGCAAGAGTGACAAAAGTGGAACATGATTTATTATTTTTACAATATTAAAATATGCAGCAAGTGAACAGAACACAACTCTGGGCTGGGTAAACAGCCCATAATTGTGTTCAAAAAGATGCATTCCGGATAATAGAATAATTTGTCATGAGCCCGAGATATAAATCGGACCAAACTTTATGGTCGAGCTGTTTCTTTTAATTTGCATCGAGAGTAAGAAACGATAACCACGTTATACGGCTTGCTAAAAAAATACGAAAAAGTGATTAAACAAACGTAAATATTATCCAACAAAAGCACACACATAAACACCGACACACACCCACCCACCCACACACGCCCCAACCCCCATCCCATTTGTATTCCTTTTAGTCGTGAAATGATATCGTGTAAGCTCGCACAGCTATAAATATTTATCATTTCTTCTTTTGCCCTCCCCCAAGTGCACACAAGCAGGCCATCATTCTTTCTTACTCTACAAAAAACCGACTATCAAAAAAAAAAGAGAGGGAAAAAAAAAACAAAACAACAAAAGAATGCAGAACCCACATTCGCACCTTTATTCTAATCGAAATCGCTATCAACCTACAAACTTTTACCACACCCGTCAGACAAATATACCCAATGCGCAACAAACACCAACACCACCATCAACACCACCGCTTCCCTCTTTTCCTCTTCCCGACCTAATTCTAGTTCGAAACACGCATCAACCAACATCCTCGTCATCATCATCATCATCATCATCAACACCAACGTCGACAAGAGCAACAGCAGGAGCAACGGCAACGGCAACAGCAACAGCAACAGCAACAGCAACAACGACTGCATCATTATTATCACCAACATCATTATTATCATCAACATCATCGTCACCATCATCATCATCCGTCCAGACTCACCAACGACGGGATCGGTTCTGCCCTATATCCTCATTTCGACGAAACATTTCCTCTTCCATTCAAGCTCACCAACTGCAATATCGGTTCTGCCCTATATCCTTCCAACGCCCCAATTCCTCCTCCTTCTCCTCTTCCTCCTCTTCCTCCTTCTCCTCTACTCAAACTCACCCGCTACAGAATCGGTTTTATCCCATATCTTTTCAACGAACGACCGCTCACCACCCAAACCTGCAATCAAGAATATCTCAGCCGACACAAGAAATACTAGTAAATCTGCAGTACTTGTGCCGTGACCTCCGACAGTCGCTAACGGGGCTACATGAACATCTGAACGGGCTATGGAAAGAAGTATCTGACATAAAATGCCGCGAACGGCAAGTAGGGATAAGCGAAGAGGAACAGAAATCGTTACGATGCGTTAGACGGAACATCGAGAATCGGATAAAAGAGTTGTTTGGCGGATGGCATGCCGAAGAAGATGACGACGATGAAGAGAGTGGAGACGAAGATGACGAAGACGTGGACGAGGAAACATCGGAGGAAGGAGAAGATGATGATGAAGAAATGGAGGAAGCGAACGATTGAATTGACAAGAGATTCGTTAATTTATTATAATTGTTAGATTGATGAGATAACGGAGAAGAAATAAATAGCAAAGAGATATTATAAATATCTATAGTTTGTAATATGTAAAAAAGAAAAGAAGACTATACGATGCGGGACAAACAAGGGTAAGTGGTGTAAGAACCATGTCCCATTTGTCATAATGGCAAGTTTCCCCTCCAAAACCAAACCCGACAGAAAAAAAAAAAAAAGACCAAGGGTCCAAAGGGGGGACAATATGCCGATTGTGCATGACGTCAAGGCATCGAATGGGACTAACCATATATTTCCTCGATCGAATGGTGAGGAGATGGGACTGAAGGACTGATTGACAGTTGAACAGTTGACAGTGGCAGTCGTCCCATCCGGTCGGTCAAAACATATACATACAAAGATTCCATCCACCCTTTTATATTGCTAATTAAATAACTATTGTTACATTACCATTACTGTAATTGATATATAATAAACTTTTATATAGAAAAATATACAACGAAATTCGGTTATTACGTTATCATTTGATAGTTGGTTTTTTTATATATTTCCTTCCTCTTTACAAATCAGTCCTTTAAAAGTTATTTTGATCACGGCTATTTTTATACTTTCATGTACCTGTCAATAAATGTTTGTTTTCATGTAGACCGTCTCTTACTAGAGGCTTTGTTTATAGTTACTTTCGTTTTGAAAAAAAAAAAAAAGAGATGAAAGAATAAAGTTGAAATGTTGTGAAATGTTTGCTTATGTACTTATGTTGTGTACTGGCAGCAAAGGCATCCGATTGGCCCAAATAATAGAAACCCAAATTAAATAGTAAAGAGTCTTACATGCTTAAATTAGTAAACGTGAAACACAATCATTCATCGTTTTCCGCAAAGAGGAAAACCTTGTGCTTGTGTATTAAGAACGGGATGTAGGACATGCGTTTCCCATACGTAAAACTAATTTACTATTTTGGCACATTCCTTTTGCTTATTGACTTGCTTTCGTTTGGGACCTAATGAGACTAGTTCGATTATCGGAGTTTCAATCGAAAACACAAAAAAGGGGTATTGCAAATCGGGGAATGAAAAAAATATACATATATATATTTCTATGTTTCAATTGAAACTAGACTATAGTCACCTTTTGGTGCAAACAAGAAATGTTGATTATTCCCCGACAAGACAAAGACTCGACTCCAAAAAAATACAATGGGATTTTCTTTGTTTATGATGTCAATAATCTGCGGGCTGAGTCAGGCGATCTAATCAAAGCCCAAAGATCGGAAACAGACGGCGGTGTTTCGCGCATGGTTTTTTTGTTCAACCGATCAAACTATAACTCAGAAGCCGCTGAAACGAACACTTTGTCCGAAACAGCGGCGACGCATGTTGCATTCAACCTTTATTTGTTACGGTTTTTCCTGATGCAACCGCAGAAATTGATAGTGATGATCATCATAATAATAATAGCAATAACAATAATAGTAACGGTAATATAATAGTAATGTAAAACCCACGTTTTAGACTTATTTGGGCTATTTTCGCATTAAACATTAGTAAGACATTGTGTGTCTCATGTTTATTTGATATTAATACATTTAAACTTTCATGAAATGGGTTCACAAAAAGTTCTCGAGTTCGGCCGACCCTAATCACATCATAACCAAATGGAGTCATCGATCGGCAATGTATTTCTAATTTAATCTCCGTAAATTTACACAGTATATATATGCACATTTCGCTTTTACTATAAGTCCTTGGAATTGGCAGCTCGGACATTATTAGCAAACTGCTCCATAAGCCGGTATCCGAGTGTGGATTAGAAATAAAGAAGGGCTACAAATTTCGGCGTTAGAACCGATAACCAACGAATCTCGTCAGCCTACCGATTATTGATTTCAAATTGGCAAGAAAATATACTATAAAAAGCGTCTCAAAGAAATTCCAACGTGCAAGTATTTAAATACATGCCTCACGAGCTCCGAAAATATTTTTTTATCCCATTTTTCATAATATCTTTGATATCGAGCAAACCTCTTTATTAATTGTCAACACAAGCGAATATCTATATATACTCTCTGCTTTTCAACTACGTTCAAACCGGACAAATTTGAAAAAAAGTTTGAAAAGCAAATTCAAATACTCGACAAACATATCGTCTCTACAATTTTATTCTTTGCGAGAAAAACCGATCCAAACAAACGTAAACATGCAGTCTCAATCTCATCCCTACGCTAGCCACGACAATATCCGCTATTTTTCTCAGACACATACCAACGCTCAAGCATTACCATTTACCTCTCTCCAAATATCAGAACTAAACATGCTTCCATACATCCTGCAACAACAACAGCAACTCATCCTTCACGCCAACGGATCTCTTCCTCCTCTCACATCCGATGAAACTCGAGACATGCTCATTGCAATCCACCACATGTGTCAAGATATCAAAGACTCGCTACGTACCTTGAACAGTAAAGTCGGCGATCTGTATGGCGAAATTACAATGCTAAGAGAGCGTACTTCAAATATAGAGTCACATACGGGAATCAGAAGATTCGATGACGCTGCAACGGAAGCTGATGATGAAAATGCGTACGGAGATGAAACCGATATCATAATGAAAAAAGAAACATTGTCTTGCACGGAAGAATAGCGAGGAGCGGAAAACCCAAAAACGACATGTTGTTGCTTTGAGTGTGCGACGTATCACTTGGAAAATGATTTTAGACGTTAATCGTAAATGGAAAAGAAGGACATTGACAAGTTGAGGAAAGGAAAAAAGAAGATGGAGTTTTTCCCTTGGTCTTGCCTTTCTTTTCTTTTTATATACTATTTTCCGTTTGGGCATAGATGGATGGATGGCAATAATGCGCAACAAGCATTGGCTTTTGACGTTTCGATTTTTTTATGTAACAATATTGTTAACGCTACGTCCTATAATACTACTTTTTAATATACGGTTTTTCTCTACTACCCCCCAACTCTTTTTTTTCTTTTCCAATTCACTAAGCACACATGCTCTTACTATGCTCACTATTTTTTATATTAATATGTACAATGTTATTTGCATCTTTACAAGCCGACCAATAGTGTTGCGCTCTTGGCGTGGGCACACACATAGTCATTGGTGGCGATATACTCCTTCTCCGTATGAGGTTGTTTATACGTTGAAAAGAAAAAATTATTTTTGTAAGATTTTGTGGATATAAATCACGTTTTCAGAATAAAGGAAAAATTTTACTGTAAAACTAGACAAGGATGATGGTATATTATCGTAATGTGCTTCTGTCACACAATCATTATTCTCGTAATGCTCTGTCGATCTCTCTTTCCGCCACTTGGCTACCCTTTTTTTTTTTTTGCGCAAAACGCGTATAATAAATACATGTGTACCGTACGTATTCAAAGCCGTGCTTTTCCTATTACATGGATCTACAAATTCATATCATGCATTCAACACAACGTAAGAACAAGTTACATTGTTCTATCCAAATACGGAATAACACAGAAAATATTCAAACACTATTGTATAACATCCACACAATGATAAGGGTGACACGATTATTTGTACAAACGTTCTACAATCGAACCAAAGAACGTCCAAATTCCTATCTTGTGAAAATAATTGCTGATCATGCCTTGGAAATTTACGGTTTTCGAAAAAAGGGGAGGTTGTGGGATGATGGGGAGGGGGAGGGGGTTGAGGGGGAGACAGAACAATTTTCGGGATTGCCATTGTAAATGTTGATGTCATCGAATGAATCAAATGACTATGTCATATGATTATACCGTGTACGCGTGTGAAAATGTTGGGATAACTTGATCCCTAAACTCACACCCCCTTGGTATTGTGGAGGGTTGGCCAAACCAATGTGAGTGCGTAGGATGGATGAATGGATGGATGGATGGATGGATGAATGGAGATGGCTTTCCCTCGATTCCATCAACCTCACTGATGATTAATATTAATATTGTTGATATCGATGATATTCTAATTAAAAAATCTCTCTTTCTACAGCCTTTTTGCTCAATACTTGGATAACGTTACCTAATTACGTATATGTTACAACCAAGTCTAGGTTACGTATTCCTCTGTTTATTTTCACTGTCGGTGGTACAAGACACTTTTTATTAATACAGCGCAGAAGCTGCGGAAATACTGACAGACACCGTTCTTATCGAAATTTCTTGACGGTTGATTAATTTGATAAACAATAATGTAACTTTGCGTTACGTTACTACTCGGATGCTGCGCACTTGTTCTTGCAAAGTCTATTAAAAAACTTGTTCGTGTTTAACAATTTTCGAAAAAGGTAATATAAACAATCATAGTTTTTCTAGAATTGGAATCTTGTTCTTATTCCAGCAATTAGAATAGTTAATAAATCAATATTTATTCATAAATTAAATACGTTTATTTCCTAATAAAGATACATGCCATGCGACTGTTAATGCTATTTTGTTGGAGTAAATACGCAGTTCATCAAACTTTAAGACATCAGAATATTTGGATATGACAAATCTCTTCGTCAATCACACTTTCAGTGATTAATATTTCTTTCTTTCTCTCTTATCCCTCCATAAACACATTCTGCTTTTATGCTTTAACATGTTATATAATATGTTATTGGTTTTCTCTTTGTAAATTAAACGATTGCCTTTTTTTTGCATACCACTGTATACTTTGTGAAGTCTGATAGTGGAACCTCTTTCAGGAAAATAATACAATTCTGCTTGTCCCAGTGATTGTACCAAGTCACATTTTTTTAATTATATTTTATAAGGCACGCACCAGATTATAAAATTTGCCTTGGCAATGATTAGAAGACTAATATTGGATTTCAAATTCTTACCCGCAAAATTAATGATACATGCACGATTTTTATTTTATAGAGGACAGCTTAGCTTTAATGGTAGAAAATAAACTTTCAACGCCCTCTTTTTTCTCGTAAAGTTGTATATCCCAACACGGTGACGCTCTAATAATCGATGTTGAAAGTAGAATATGTTTCCACGCTTTTTATCATACTATGTAATAAGAGTTTCCGATAGCGTAAAATTATTACGAGAAATATTAATACAAGTGGGTCTCAATATATAATGACACGCTCGGTTCCAACCCAAATTGCTACTTGTATCAAGTTTGATATAGCAAATTGTCATCATATTACAGTGTCACTAGATCGAGACTCACCTACAGGGACATATGCAAGTTTATTCCCTTTGTTTGTAGCATTTGATATATCGATACCTCTATAGCAAGACACTTTAGAAATTTTGCAAAAGCGTCAGCTTTTAGTTTCTTGCAAAATTGCATCTGCTGTATTCGAATTGAGCTTGGACAAATTAAAATTATCTTGGCTGAGACTAAATATCTATTCTTAGCAGCGTATGTCCGTCTGCTCTGCGTCACCTCAGTGCTGCTATATCAGTTGCCGTGCATAATTGCGAGACCTTGAAATTCAGCGTCTTTAAAAACGGAACCTTTAACTGTTTCTACTATTATATTAGTCTTTAAACAACAACTAGAGACTCTTGAAAAAGGTAAATGGACGGCGTGTCTGAAAAGCAGACGAGGCTGTTTGTTACTGTAGTGACAACTTTCTTCCGCGATACAGTAACTCAGCTGGAATTGGTACGATTATTACCGGATTACGTAGGCTTGTCAACAATCAATATCGTAAACGATAGAAACGAAATAAATTAAATTACAATAATCAAAGGATCGTTCGTTTATTATATTCAATACTTTAGTATTGGATATTAAGAATTTATAACAATACTAATTGGACACATACAACGCGAGTTTTGGACGTTGGGAGAAAAACTGCTTATATATCTTTGGAGCGTCACCGAAAAAAATAAAAATTTACTTGCCCGCCCGTCACCGTAAATTAGCTGATGTTTATCATTTTACTTTTGCTACTACGGCCCGGTGACACTAATTTCAGGGGTATCGATGATCGACTGCGGAGTAAGATTTTATCACATGACCTGCCTTTCGAAATCATTCGATCAGTTTCACAAAAACATCGTTCCGAGGATATTAATATAATAATAATAAACATGGCTTCTACCATCTTTGCGATAGCAAAAAAGACTCTAGTACTAGATGAAGCTAGTTTCGAAGAATATAAAGTTGCTGCTGAACAAGGATATGCTGTTGCACAATATAATCTTGCTTTCTGTTATAGACATGGAATTAGAGTAGAAAAAGATGAACAAAAGGCAGTTGAATGGTATCAAAAAGCTGCTGAACAAGGTGATGCCGATGCACAATATAATCTTGCTTTATGTTATCAACATGGAACTGGAGTAGAAAAGGATGAACAAAAGGCAGTTGAATGGTATCAAAAAGCTGCTGAACAAGGTGATGCTGGTGCACAAAATAATCTTGGTGTGTGTTATAATAATGGAACTGGAGTAGAAAAAGATGAACAAAAGGCAGTTGAATGGTATCAAAAAGCTGCTGAACAAGGTGATGCTGATGCACAATTGAAGCTTGCTTATTGTTATCATGAAGGAACTGGAGTAAGGAAAAATGATCAAAAGGCAGCTGATTGGTGTCAAAAAGCTGCTGAACAAGGACATGCTGATGCACAATATAATCTTGGTGTGTGTTATCAGTATGGAACTGGAGTAAGAAAAGATGATCAAAAGGCTGCTGGTTGGTATCAAGAAATAGCTGAACAAGGTGATGCTGATGCACAGTTTAAGCTTGGTCATTTATATAGAAAAAGTATTAGCATGGAAACTGATTATCAAAAAGCTTTTGAATTGTATCAGAAAGCAGCTATGCAGGGAAATTCTGATGCAAAGAATAACCTTGGTTGGTGTTATGAAAAAGGGCTTGGTGTGGATAAAAATATTCAAAAAGCAGTGGAATTGTATCAAGAGGCAGTCAAGCAAGGAAATGTTTCTGCATACACTAGTCTTGGTTTATGTTACAAAAATGGGATTGGAGTAGAAAGAGATATTCAAAAGGCTGTCAAATTGTTTCAAAAAGCAACTGAACGAAAACATGCATATGGACAATATAATCTTGGTTGGTGCTATGAGGAGGGAATTGGAGTAAAACAAGATGAACGAAAGGCTATTGAATTATATGAAAAAGCTGCTGATCAAGGGTACATTAAGGCACAAAATAAGGTTTATTTTTTTAGTTACAATGATAAGTCCAAGTTAAAGAAAAAGATCCAAGAGTTAGCTGAAATTTATCCAGCTAAAAAATGAACAAAATTTATTACAAGATGTAATTGTGTTCAGAGTTAGCAAATCATAGTTGTGGTCACAAGTTATTGCAAACTTATTGATAAACTTATTCTGTAAGATGGTTATACGTTTATTATTATCAAAATAAAAGTCGTTTTATAATTTATAATTGTCAACTGTTTTATTTAAACTTGTGTTTATTATTTTGAGTCTGTTCTAATACTAATTCTGTGCATGGTTTGTAAAATAATAATAATAATAATGATAATTAGATATTAATATATCACTAACCAGAATACAGTAAACAAGGAAAAGGATCACTGACCATAACAATATATAACAATAATAATAAATTTTTTATTTAGCATCTCATAGGAGTGACTTGATCAGGTTATGTAGGTTATGGGGCATGATGCAACAAAACCAGACAAAGTGAATGTTCTATCGTCATTATCATCACAGGAGTCGCTATCAAACAGTCAAATTTGTCACTGCCACATTGATCTCAGTAAATATGTCCTTTTCTCACTTTCTGTCAGTCGTTTAGAAAATCACATACCTTTATTCCCATGAGATGCTAATTCAGCTTCTGCCATCTCCGCGCTGGCAAACATCGGAATATAAACTTTTAAACCCTTTTCTGAGATCTCCAATTAATTCAACATTTGATTAGAAAGCACCAGGAAATATCCTAGTCGAAAAAGCACAAATTAAGATTTTTCTAGTTCCTTCGGGTTTTGTGTTCTTTACTGTAATCTTCTTAAGTGGGTATTCTTGTCCTCAAGCTCACGGCAATGCGTTGTTTTAGTAAGAGATAGTTTACGTATATCGACGTCAAAAAAAGAGCTTATTAAACAACAGATACAAATATTCAACCGCGGCGTACAAATTTTATTATACAATCGGATCATTAATCTTTATTAACATAAATTTATTTTGCTAGAAAAATCATATTAATGACATTTATTTCTTTTGTTTTTTTAATCAATTATTTTGCTTTTTTGATTTTTCAGGTGTTGATGAATTTGGCGTTATCATATGAACCTTCCGCTTTGCAAGTAATTTCAATTTTTGTTCGATATGTGGCTCAATTTTCGTTATGCTGTTTTTCATGAAGAACTGAACATAAATAATTATTAGCGAAAGACAATAGACATGTGAAGCATAATATTTTAATGGTATTCACAAAATATTTCAAGCATGATATTATTGCCTCGGATAAAACGGGAAGATCTTGCCATATTGCGGGAATACGAAAACAACCATGTTCGCGTAAGCAATATGATTTTGGGTAAATCGTGCACCAAAGCAAAGAGACTTCATCGCGATGTCCCAGAGCCCCAAAACTCGCCAAGTTATTGTAATCTTTTATACCGTTGTGGAGACAAAGAATTATTCGTTGATTCAGGACATCACGCATAGTTCGAACCAACTTATAATCGTGGATGTAAAAATCAGTGATATCATCAACATCCGGCGGTCCTGTCTGTTCATATATGAATATTTCTTCCTGGCTTCTCCAGAGGCGAGCCAGGCCGTCCGCACGTTTTGCACTTAAAACTTTATCGATGAATGGGTTGATATTATAATTACGTCGATATTTACTGCTTCTGATTGGAACATCAAGACTATAACAGGTAAAACAATTTTAGTTGTTACAAATAAATACTTCCGGAGTAGATAAATCGAATTCACTTACCCTTTCCAATCCACGTCACAAACAGCTTTGAGTGTGTTTTTTAAAACGGGAATTACAAATTGTGCGCCGTATTGTTTCTCTTCAAGATCGCTGGATTTTAATGTTAAACGGTGCTTTAAAAGCTTCAATACTACAAAGGATAAATAGAATTACGATATTATATCACTAAATACACGAACAAAAAAATCGTAAAAGCCTGTTGTGTAATACATCTTTTATCACCAGATCTTCGTTACTTTCTTTTTCGTCAAAAAGTCCGCGCCAAGTTTTCTCCCATTCGGCAAAAGTGTCTTTTGGCTAATAGACAAATAATCAGGATATTATCTAGTCCAAAAAATAATTCGCTATTTCTTAAATTATACCTTGAAGAAACTTTGTATTGATTCTTCCCATTTTTCTGATATTTTATAATCAGGATACGTATCCAAGATAAATTTCTCCCACGTTACTTCTGGAATGATCTTTGTCAGTTGTGAGGTGCCTTAAATCCATAATGTTGCTATTGCATAGACTGAAGTAATAACAATGAGTAAAACGCGCGCTCGTATCAGCATCCGAATTCAAATTCATCACAGTACCTTTCGAAAGCTTCTTCCAAATCGAAATCATCCACTGTCAATGCATCACTTTCTATGTTCCCAACCATAGACTCTACTGCTTTCGCAAATAACCATCGGCATCACTGGTACCATCAGTTATAATATCTCCATTATCATCAAATGTTTCTTTATAGTTGAGGTCTTTTTGCACTTTTTGGTAATCTTGGCTTTCCGATGTTTCCGATCGAGCTTGCGTAACCGCACTCGAAGAAGGTTGTTTTATGTATACAACATTTTTAGTAATAACAACCTTGTAACAGTAGTAATCATTTAAGCCAAACATACCAGTTCGCATACTATTAAACTCTGCATCAAAATATTCCTGTAATCCTCGTTGTGCTACTTTAAATCCCTCTTTCGTTATTTGGTGAACAGCTCGCCTTCCCTCCTTCTGTTGTAACAAAGTCGAAAAAAAAACTAAATATGAAGTCATCGCATGCATTAAAGATTTATGGAGGCCAAACCTTATTAATTTCTAATTCAAGTCAGCTATATAAGACTTTGCCTTCAATGAATTAATTTCATCCCAAATCTCGTCATTTTGGTTGTCTTTCTTCTATATATATATATATATATATAATACTTAGTTCAATTAACACCTTTGGATTATATAATTTGGAATACAGGAATAACTTGTTTACAGAGTGCCACGGATTTCACCCGACCAACGTTTTCATGTCCACGCGCACTACGGAGCTACCCGTCGGTTTTTGCACATGGGAAAAACCTTCTCAACATTTCGGTTGCCGGATTAGACATGAAGTACGTCAGCTACGTTTCAATAGCCACGCGCGTTGCAGAGCTACCTGTCGGTCTTTTGCACACGGGAAAGACCTTCTCAACACTTCGGTTGCCAGATTAGTTATTGAGTACGCTAGCACACCAATCGGCAAAGATACTTTCCTTTATTTCGTCCTGTAGTTTGCAAGCCCTTATATGAGCAGGATTCGTAGAATTGAATTTCTTCTTCAAGCAATTTAACTCTTTCGCTAAAGCTTGGTGAGAAAGGCGTTTACAAATTGGCTCATTATGCGGTTGTTTGATCCAAAACGCGTCCCAGTCGT